TTACTTAGCGATATTGATGCCACTCTTTGTTGTCTTCATCGCATTCATATTCGTCACTATTTGTGCTCTTACTCGCATTGCTCTAATGGCTGCACACTATTCTGCAAATAAATAAATTGCGCACCGTTCTTGCCTGAGGGATATCAGTTATTTTTGGCTATAAGTTGCCAAAGATTCTTAGAAATTTATCTTTTATTTTTGCGGAAAGCTAAAATTTATTTCAGTAGGTATACTAAGCAGATTATTATGACCGCATTTCTTATATTTGAATCACAGCCAAAAGTAATAAAGGCGTGGTTATTATCGCAATTGTTTTCGTAAGAACATATGCAACGTTATACATAGTTACTTCCGCTACTTCCAGAGTTTGTTATGGAGAATATTTTCAAAAGCAAGCCAAAAACTTTTCCGTTTTGCTTGATACATGCATATGTACATATGTATGTTTGTATTAGGTTGCGTCACTACCCTGCAGGAAATTGAATTAGTTTGAAAGTAATTAACTAGTTGAAATTCTCACTATTTTATCTGCAACGAACTCATTTATTTATCATGGGGATGTCTTAGGAAGCAGTCAATTACCTTTTCTTGCATGTACTTTCAACTACTATAAAATGAATTTGGCTTAAACAACTTCAAAGTCAGTATGTTTTGTTTGAAACACGCTTTCGTTCTGTAATTCACAGATGCTTTTTCATACTTTCAAGACACAAATTGTTTTTTGAGCAAAAAGAGTATACAAATTCGAAACATTTACTCATTGTATTTGTTTTAAAGTAGTATTTCAATTAGTTAATAAAAAAAAAATCATTTGTTTCCGTCAGGGTGACCATAAAAACAATTAGTGTTGACATAACTTCCACGGGAACCTACTACCATTGAACGTATTTTGGTCCATGAAAGTAAATTCAAACATTACTTCCACAGTTATGATTCGTGGAAGATATGAGTCGGTTCATATCAAAACTGTCTAAGTCCACAGACTCTTCTTTTCAGATTTTGGGTGAATATACACTGACTGAACAAATAAATAAATAGTTCACACTAAAGTAATGTGACTAATTAATGTCAATAAGGCATTTAATATTCACAATTTATTCAGAGGAGACAAAGTCCTACCCTTGGCGTAAATCAAAATTGTTTCACTCCATTCGAAATTTTGCTACGAAACTAACTAAGTCCATATGGTATTTTTCAAACGCGCTTAGGACCAACTTGTTTTTTCTTCGCAAAATACTTTCAAGATCCCAAAATTTGTCTTACGGTGGACTTAAGCAGGTTTGATATTTATCGACTATATTATATCCAGCTTTTAGTTAGCTGAAAACAAGCTCAATTTTTCGTGACATCGCCATGTAAAATTAGTCAGTTAAAAGTGGCGCGATATTCTCCATGTATAAGTAATTAGTTCTCTACAGGGGCGTTTACAATGCCAGAGTATGTAAATATGTATGGTACATTTCGGAAACGAAGAAATTTGAGTGGTGCAAAAATAAAGATAGGAAAGTGATAGCGCGAGATAACTAGTACATAACTTTGCTTAATTGCCGCAATTAAAGTGTATATGTAGAAATACATATATTTACTTATATATATATATATAGTATGCATGTCTGACTCAATACGAATTATTTTAAAAATTCATGCATACAGTCATACATACTCATACATATGTATGTCGAAAAACAAAAGACCTAAAGCTGATGTCACATAAAACTTTTGCTTCGCTTTACGTGACAGATTCGCTTTGACAGATAAGATGAATTGTATGAAAATGCACAAAGCATGCCACATAAATCGTTGAAGCGGCAGCGCGAAGCGAAAAGATGGTCAACTCCCATCTTTTTGCGCGCTTTGACAATCAGCCGGTTTAATATTTATTTTGTTTCGTCCAAATTCGGGTTTTCATGCAGAAACATAAAACTTAATTACATTGCTGATAATTTTAAATCAAAATAATTAAAATCCACAGCAACTTTGATGAGTAAAAAAGCGGTACAACATTGTTTTCTTGGCGTTCATTGTGGCATACCTTTTGCGTCTGGCGCTTTGCTGGCAAAGTTATAAATGTCACGCAAAGCTACAAAGTTTTATCTGGCATCAGCTTAAGACCTCATTGTAAACATGCAAACACAATATTTGAAATTTATCATTTATTAGATGCTCATTAATGAATAAATAAAAATGCGTAAAAATTTTGGCATTTAGTTCGAGGCCAAAATTCGCAAATAACGTTAACGACCATGAATTTTGCTATTTGCTGCTACTTTGCTGTTGTGGTAGGACTAGTGACTTTGTTTGAGTAGAAGCTGAATTTATTCGGAAAAGAAAAAGTTTTTTAAAAGTTATTTATTTGACAGATAACTTTGATGATTGCTGTTGTGGTGAGTGGAGTTCCTGCCTATAATTTTCTAAGTTCAACTACACAGGATTTCTGTACGAGTAAAGCAGTTCAAGGCTCATTTGCGGATCCCTCCAATACGGATTGCACTGGGTAAGCAAAATTGTAGAGTGGTTTGCAGTGTGTTGGATTTGAATCATATATGTATGTATGTATGTATGTGTTTTCATTTTCAGATATTTCCTTTGCTACAAACTCAACAACGAATGGCAGACAAAATCGTTGAAATGCCCCGAAGGACAGTTTTTTGATACTACTTTGCTGATATGTAATCGTAATTATGTTTGTCCACTGTCAGATTTAGACTACCGCTAAGGCTGGTTTTCACTATGTCAAATTCAAGTCCTCAAACAAGTGAAAACATGTGCACATATGAGAATAAAAAATAGTAAAATGATTGATTTATAACTGCCAATTATTTGAATACTAGCAACCCGCCCCGGCTTCGCACGGAAATAAAATATAAGGCCTATGTCACTCACTGAAAAAATGATTAAAATCGATCCCGTAGTTTTGATTTATTCATTACTGCCCGTTACACGCGTTACATTTGGAGTAAAACAGTTCCCCTTTCTTTATACCATGAATATTTCCTGCTATCTTTGGAATATCTAACGCGCGCTCCGAATCAATAAAAACTATTCAAAAACTGTATTTTAATTATGTGCGATTTATTAATATAGAACGTGAACAGAGCGGTTTATTTCGCTGAAAAAACACTCACAACTAAAAATTTTTCAAATTTGGGTTTTCTGTATAAAAACCCTCAATGCAATGGAATTCAGTACGGCAATAAAGACATGAATTGAAAATACATACATACATACATACATACGTCCGAAATTTAATTATGCGAGAGATTCGTACATATGTACTTACATACATACGTACCGAGTTCTTTCACCATACGATCTAATTCGACATGAATGAGGTGGGGTGAGATTCCCGCATAACTTCTAATGTTTCATTCGGTTGACAGCGAACAAACACACAAACAGCTTTTTTTGGAAAAAGTGCTGCTTTTGTTTAAACAATTTTGGTTAAATAAGATATGAATCAACTATTTTTTTTGATGCAGAACGAAAGTAAATATTTCAAAGTTTAACTTCAAGTAAGTTTCATTTTAATCGGTGGATTCTTTGATGATTTATGGCTGTGTAAACAAAAAATTTATGGGTTTTTACCACATTTTGTCCGATTGCCACGCCCCCTTTATATATTTCTTCACATTATAATGACATAAACCTTCCTCTTCAACCAATCTATCTATTAAAAAAAACCGCATCAAAATCCGTTGCTTAGTTTTCAAGATTTAAGCATTTAAGGGGACATAGGGACAGAAAAAGTGACTGTTTTATAATATGTAGTGATAACATATACGTACTTGTTTATTATCAGTACCTTCTCGGATTAAGCGCAACAAAGTTAGGTCAAAATATGGTCAAAATGTGTGTAGTCAGAAAACGATATAGTGAAAACCAGCCGTTATATGTACGATCTTAAAAAGTTTATTGACTTTTTTAGGTGTATTTTTTATATTTTGGACTCAAAATATAGTCGCTTGGAGCGCAATACCTCGCATGCGCAAAATGCAATTCTACGTGTAAGAGTGTACGAAAATTTCACAAAAGAGTAAAGAAACCTACTTGATCCAAATTTTTAAATGATTTTCTAATTGAAGTTTGTGAAGTAGGCAGTCATTGAGACGAAAATATTTTTAACAAATCTTTACATGAAAAATGAAAAAGTAAATGATAACCTGTTTGGATTTTAAAAGGTGGAATATCGTAAACATTAGCAAGAATAATTATATTTTAATTATGTATTATCTCATAAAATAAATGTTCACGTATACATACACTACCGTTTATACTTAGATGCCTTTGTATAAAAACAACAAAAAAAAATTATAACAGGGAGTGCCCGTTACTGCCGAAATTCGGCCGCTTTTCTAGTTGTTTAGGAGTCTCGAAGATTTGTTCGCTGTTGAATTAGTCGTTAAATTCATATACATATTCGCCTTCGTATAAATCTTCGCATTCACCTTCGTATTCATTTTAGGCGATGTCTTCTTATTTGTCTTCGGATCGCATGTGTATTCGCCTTCGTATTTTTCTCCGATATTATCTTCGTCGTCGTCTTCGAAAAATTCGCCGCATTCGTCTTCTTCTTAGTATTTCTCATCCTATTCCTTTACCTATTTGTCTTCGTCTTCGTATTCATCCTCGTTGTCGTATTCGAATTCGTACTCCTACAGTGTTACTTACGTCTAAAATACTGGAAACGCATTTTACGTTCTTCACAACATCACAGATTAGGTTCCTCGTTTTCCGAGAAACGAAATCTCTCTATAACATCAACTTTGCGCATGTACCCGTACCCCTTTTTAACTTGCCCCGGATTTAGCATTTATTGGGTAAGAGTGGTGTCACAATTTTTTCAATTGGAACTAGTTTTTACGTGCTGTATTCCAAGTCCAGCGTACGATCATTACATATCGAGTTGCTGATAAGCAGACGCTGCAGACGTGAACGACCCTTCAACGTAAGGCGTCGCAGTAGCCTCCTCTAAAACTCGCTCTCTCTCTCCGCTCTGACGCATGGATCCTCATGATTTGGTAAGAATTGAGTATATGTAGGCGAGCAATTGAAACTACAGTAAGCGACAAAAATATAAATACCCTGGCTTTTTGACGATTTTTTTTTATTTGTATTTTCCATACCAATTTTTTCCATAAAAATACAGTTCATTCAATAGAAAAAACCAGCAGAGTACATTTTTTTCAATTTCATGTAGAACTCGGGAAATTTCAAGAAATACCAAAAAACTTTCAGAAAAATTTTGAGTACGCAGTTTTGTTGCCCATTACTTCAATTTTAGTACAAAGTGCAAGTTTCAAGTCTCTAAAAATTACCGTTGATTTTTGGGAACTTTTTTTCGTCGAGCGGATTTTCTTCTATATTAAAATAGATTTTGTTTTAATGCGTTAGAGACGTGAAACTTTCACCTTTTTATAATAGAATTTAATGGTCTGCATAACTGCATACCCAAAATTTTGTTAAGAAATGGAATTGAAAAGTTGAAAAATTTGCTGACAATTTTTTGGTATTTCTTGAATTATTTATTCCAAGTTCTATATGAAATTGAAAAAAATGATGCTTTTAGTTTTTGCTTATGAATGAACTGTATATTTATAAAAAAAAATTAAAAAAATTGGCATGGAAAATATAAATAAAGAAACGTCAGTGTATTCATATTTTTGACGCTGAGTGTATATACTCAGAAGTTTCTTTATACCACATTGCACCACTTGGCTCATAGCATCAAATAAAAGCGATTGTAGAATATTGCGTGATTAGTATTGTGAGTCACTGTACACTTTATTTTCGCTATTAAGAAAATTTGGCTAATTATTTATTAAATGCGAAGACTTTTTATTGCACAATTTTATCTAACTAATCAGCGATGTGATTAATATCTATTTCGGTGTTGTCATACAGGGCTGTTAAATTTTACTGCGATGATAAAATTTACAATGCCAAAATTTTTACTAAGCACACGGTGATTTTTCGCATTTGTATGCACATACATACATACATATGCACATAAATATGTTTGTATGTATTGTATATTTTTCTCACTTGTAAACGCCTTTGAAAAAAAAGATAAGCAAAAATTATCTTTTCGGCATCTTCAAGTTTTTTCCAATGAAAGTAACAATTTATTTATGTAAATAATGGCCATCATCGATTCGCCAACAGTTAGCGAGTTACAACCAAACTCGCTATCGTCTATCCGTGCTAACTAATTTTGTTGTTGTTTTCACATGCAAAACTCTTCTTTAAGCGACCGGAACTCAAACATAGCGAGCAGAGAAGTGGCGAATCGATGACGGCGAATATTGCTTAGCGGGTCATAAAAATTGAAGAGAATACAACATAACGATAGCGCACATACTATGCACGTACTATGTACATATTTAAATTTGGGTTGCTAAAGTTCGAAAAAATTGGCTTGGCATTCTCAGTTAGCATTTGCAATCGAAGCCAAACAAATGAATCGAAGAATTGTACTCGTAGTTACTTTTATTCTTGTTGTAAGTGAATTTCGTGCTTCCTTCATGAGAACTCACACTCATCCACATACATACATACATGCAGTTCTCACCTCATATTTTTAATTTTTTTTTGGTTTCCCACTCACACTAGGCATCGGGCTTTGCTTCAGTTCATGGCGTGTGCGATCAATGTCAAACCGAAAATCCTGTGGCCTGTCACAATGAAACCGTATACTCGCTCTGCATTAACGGTAAAATTTAAAGTATATACATATGTATGTATGAGTAAAATTAGTAACACTTTACTTTAAGGTACGGCCACGCTGAACTACCGTTCTTGCCCCGAAGATTACGTCTGTACAGCCGATGTGTATGTTTGCTATCCAAGCAATTCATCGGTTCCGAGTTGTGTTCGCACCGAAACCGATGACGTAGAGCAGTTACAATGTGGTGTTTGTGGTTCGAAAGGAAAAGTTTTTGCCTGCCTCAATGAAACGACTGTGGCATTTTGTTTCGGCGATGATAGTCCCCACTATGAATCGCTGTATAATTGTCCCGAAGGCACTGTTTGTGATTTGAATAGCGGCAGCAAATTTTGCTCAAATGAAACCGAAGCAATGGTAAGTGAGGCATTAAAAATTTTAGAACGAAAAGTTTAATATATAGGATATATAAAAATGTATGTACACTAGGGTGGTCTAAAAATGCATGTGAAAATTAAAGTCTCACCCCCTGGGATTGTTCTATACCGAAAAAAATATACCCCAATTTTTTATTTTGAAATCGAAACTTTATATATACTTTATTTATATGCAAAAAGAAGATCATTAAAAAATCGTTAGTATTAAAAAATGGTTAAATGAACAATTGGGTATTAATTTTAAGGAGATTTTTTTACTCTTTCACAGCCCAGTTGTAGGGAATCAACAAAAACCACCACAACTACTCAAGAGCCAACAGAAACCACAACTGAACTGACCACAACAACCACAGCTACTACTACAACAACAACTACGTCACCAACGACCACGCCCACGACGACTACAGCAGCATCAACAACAACTATAACAACACCTGAGTCAACGACCACTGCAACAACAACAACATTAACACCAACGACGACTATGCCCACCACAACTTTAACTACAACAACGACTACGCCCACCACAACGTCAACAACAACACCTGCACCAACGACAACTACACCAACAACAACAACTGCGCCAGCAACGACCACGCCCACGACGACTTCAACTACAACAACGACTACGCCCACCACAACGTCAACAACAACACCTGAGCCTACGACAACTACGCCAACAACGACCACGCCCACCACAACGTCAACAACAACACCTGCACCAACGACAACTACACCAACAACAACAACTGCGCCTGCAACGATCACGCCCACGACGACTTCAACTACAACAACGACTACGCCCACCATAACGTCAACAACAACACCTGAGCCTACGACAACTACGCCAACAACAACAACTGCGCCAGCAACGACCACGCCCACGACGACTTCAACTACAACAACGACTACACCTGCACCAACGACTACGACACCAACAACTACTACGCCAACAACGACCGCGTCCACGACAACTTCAACTACAACAACGACTACGCCCACCACAACGTCAACAACAACACCTGCACCAACGACAACTACACCAACAACAACTACGCCCACTACGACTTCAACAACGACTACAACAACAACTACGCCAACAACGACTACACCCACGACAACTTCAACTACAACAACACCTGCAACAACAACAACTACATCAACAACTACGACTACTGAACACACTCTAACTCCCGCAGAAATTTGTGAAAATAATGGCGAAGAAACTAGTATAGCAAACCCTGATGATCTAACCTGTACAGAGTGAGTAAAATGATATCGATAAATAATTTGTTCTCTACAAATTAAAATACATACTGACATATGTACATATATGCCGTTTCAATTTCAGATACATAATTTGTACGAAGTCAGGTTCTAGCTGGATTGCTACTGCAGCTACATGTCCCAGTAATCAATATTTCGATCCAACTTTTGCTTTTTGTACAACAACTTATGAGTGTCCTACGCAACAAACAAACACAACAACAATTACAACAACCATATCAACAACAACTACACAAGAAACCAGTACGACCACCTTAAGTCCCGCGCAAGTTTGTGAAGCTAACGGTGTTCAGGCATCTGTAGCACAACCGAATGATACAACTTGCAAATCGTAAGCAACGGAATTTCATATATAGTACATACATATGTACATATCTGGCTATTCATTAAGTTGAGTTTTTTCCACATTTCAGTTACATCGTCTGTTCAAAGCCGGGATCGGTGTGGATTGCATCTAGTAGGACTTGTGGTAGTGGTAAATGGTTTGATCCGACTGAGGGAAAGTGTTCCGAGACATACACTTGTCCTACGAGCTCTTAGATACAGTTTTGGTTCTAAGGAATCTTTGTTCAATGAATTCTTTTACTAAAATTCATTAAAATCTTTTGGTGAATGAAATTACATACATATTTGGTAGAAATAATAAAGTCAAATTTCATAGCAAGCTTTAAATAACAAGAGTATTTTGTCTTTTTTTTATTTAACTTGGAATTAATTGGAGTCCCAAGTTCAGACCCGTTTCACTTGAGAAAATCTTTCTTATAGATATTCAGTGAAAATAACGATCAGAAGATTTATAAAATTATCGTTTTTCATCGAATCGTTTAAATTATGAAAAAATTTATATACTCCATCTCAGTGGGCTTTTCCGAAATTCGATTGATTTTTTTTATAGGAAATTTGGTTAATAAAATCTTGTGCGAAATCTGGTTGGCCAAATAAGGATTCACATAGATGTAATATGCCCGTAAAAAAAAATATATATCTGTGGTCATAAGCAATAACCGCCTAAGTCGACTTAAGAAAGAATTGAGTTATAAACGCTGTTCACCGGCCTATAATAAGAAGACGGCATGTCAAATACCGTGAAAACTCCGCACGAAAGCTTAGTCGCCCTTAAGACCCCTTGTTCAACCCAGCTCGGACATCAAACACAAGTCATCGCAACTTCAGCTGCAGTAAGGGACGGTGTATAAAACATTTAAGTCGAAGTAGCAAAATCCATACAATTTTTGCTTCTCACTACTTTGACTTATTGTAACTGTTCAAAATGACTTATTGCTTGTGCAATCAGAGCGATTTCCGCCAAAATGCGCAGTGATTTTGGCAGTCGTTGGTCTGAAAAATTTCATTTTGATTTGATTTTTATTTTGGTCAGAAGTACTAGTCAAAGTAAAAGCAATAGCAAGCCCATCTAGTATGGCTGAAGGCTCCTGCACCTGGTCCTATAGATATGTATGTATATGGAGTTTTTAGGGCTGCCCTAAACGGAGTTTTCTAGCGGTTTAGAGTTTTATCAACACGTAGACTCAATCTAAGCACTTCCGGATACAGCTCCCGCAACTGTGTTGCAGTGGGATTTTACCATATCGCAGGAGCAACAGAAGACGCCTAAGCTAGTTCCAAGGGCTTGCAACCTGCAATAACACATCATTATAACTGTTCCATGTTTCAAGCCTGCCTCTAAAAAAGCGATAAATTTCCAAAATCGAGTTTTAATTTCCTATAATTTATTTTGCTTCCGTAGTCCGCGTAATTTTCCTAATCTGAACTTTGAGCATCCACTCATTTGTTCATTACTGTTCTCTGATAAATCTGTCTGGTCTCGGGTCACTTTGCGATCTTGAATGATTTTGTTTTGATCGTGCTATCTCTGTTCTGATAATAATACTGGTTGTAATTCCTTCCTCCAGTCACTTACCATGACTTAACCTGTTATGTTGTACGACGATGTGAGGTGGCCCCAGGTCGGGGTAGACTTCCTAGACTGCAGTGAGGCAAGTGAGATTTGTGCCAAACCGCATTTTTTTAGCTTACAATGCAGGTTGTTTCAGTAGCTGTTCCTGCTTGCAGTTTCTGGAGAAACCTTTTTACCACAAGCGTTGACAGTGGTAATGGCGTATCTTAAACTATTTGCGCAGCTCCATGTCCTCCGAACAATTATCGTAGATCATTAAAATTCAAGTCAAACTACATTTTTTTTCTTAAGCTTAATATACAAATATTTATTTAAATTATATTTTAAAATAAAACTTTTAGATAAGAAATAATTGAATTAACAATCTGCAGGCCTTTCGGTCTGACACAGTCCAGTTGCTGCATTAAAATAATACCGGCATGTATATTTCCAACCCAAGTATTGGCCGGAAAGCAAGTAGCAATTGATGTAGCTGGAAAGAAAAAGAAAAATATTAACACTTATAAAATTTATACCGTAGGTTTTGAAAATTTCGGTTAATGGTTTTAAATGGATTTCTTCAAGTTTTCTAGTACACTAGGTTTTAAAGTAATCTTAGTTAAATTATAATCCTAGTTGAATAAGTTAGGTTTTAATTACTGACTTTTCGATGCTTTTAACACCATTAATATTCAACGTTTTTTCCCATATTTGTGCTAAAACGATTGGAAATAATTCATTTCTATGAGAAGTTCTTTCACTATGCGATAAGCTTAACATACAGTGCAATTCTGGCAAAGTCTTTGTAAGACGACTGAAAGACAGTAGACAACATCAAAAAAAAAAATTGTTTTTTCTAACAGCGGTCGCCCCTCGGCAGGCAATGGCAAACCTCGCCGTTCGGAGTAGGCGTAAAACTGGAGCTCGCTCCCCTTCGTGTAACATCAAGGCTCACGCCACAAACCGGAGGAGAAGATTTTATTGTCTTAAAAGTAAACCTATTTTTAACTTAATTTATTTGTATAAATGTATTTTATTTTTTTTCAATATTTTTTTAAAAAGAAAAAAAATCTGGTTTTTTAAATTAATTTTTTTCTCGTTTAAATGTTCGTTTAACTAGCAGATGTTATTTCTTTAAAAGTATTGTTTTTTTATTTCAAGAATTTGTAGAATTTTTATTTTTTTTTTTATTTTTTCTTTTTGCTTTCATAAAATTTTTTATTTTTTTTAATTTAATTTTCTTTAGATTTTTAGTTTAAAAAGAAAAATTTATATACTTCTGTTCTTCGAAAGACTGTGGTGAGTTAAAAGTCAATAGACAGAATTGCGCCCCCTCCCTAACCAGTTGGGTAAGAAAACTCGGTCAAAGAAGGTCAACAGTTAAGCACAAATCGCAATATCTACAAATAAATACTTACACGGCACACGTTGTGTCCCCATCGGGTCTGAAATTGCCCGTCTGCCCGATTTCAGCGCAAAATGTGTTAGGAGCTCGAGTTGTAGTAGATAGCGTAGTAGTAGTGGTTGTTGGTGTTGTTGTATCGGTGGTTGAATCAGTCGTAGAAGTTGTAGTTGAAGCGGTGATTGAAGGCGTTGTTGTCGATGAGGTGGTAGTTGTTGAATCAGTTGTGGTTTCGGTTGTCAAGTTGGTTGCCGAACCGGATGTTGTTTGGGTCGTTGTATCGGTTGTTGTTTCGGCTGTTGAAATAGTTGTTGTACCAGTAGTTGTGTCAATTGTCGATGTTGTTGTTGTTGTTAAAGTCGTTGTGTCAGTTGTCGTTTCAGTTGTTGCATCGGTTGTTGTAGTAGTAGTTGAGTTCGTTCCTGATATGCATGACGGCTATAAAACACAAATATGTATGTATAAATGCTCACCACATTTCCTGTGGGCCACTCTACTCACAATTGTTGTTTGCGAAGGTGAACAAACATCGGAGCTTGTCAAATCGCACACATAACCCTGCGGACAGGAGTCAATCGAACTTGGCGCTGGTGTCTGCCCATCGAAGCACAGGGCATAAGTGTCCACATCCAGGCAGGTGAAATTCCTCTGAACGGATGTGCAAGTTCCACATTGATCCTCATAGCAAACGGGCAAAGCACCTTGAGCGGTTGCCAAACAAATTGCTTGCTCGGCTGTGCAAACAGTTGCCGCTGGACATGGTGTACTCACAGCGGTTGGTATATTATCAATGCAAACAGCAAAGGTTTGTTCATCCAAACAAGCGACTCCATTTGAAAAGCACTCACTACAACGGCCTGTGAGTGCCGCGATAAGAGCGCGTTCACGACTGCTGAGCGCGAGTAGCTAAGAATGATCGAAAATATGTACAAAGCACAATAAAAACTTTTCGATTTCATTGCAAATTTAGTGACGTACTCGAATTCAAGCCAAGTTGATAAAATAAATAATTGAAAATCGCTTAATTTTAATTAAATATTTATGTATACAACTTACGTTCAAAATCACAATAACAAAAAGTCGCNTCAAGCCAAGTTGATAAAATAAATAATTGAAAATCGCTTAATTTTAATTAAATATTTATGTATACAACTTACGTTCAAAATCACAATAACAAAAAGTCGCTTGGCGTTACACATTTTTGCTAGACACACTCACAGTCGGCCAAAAAATTATATGCTCTTGGTTGCACGCTAGTTTTCTATCTGTTTTGCTATTTTCGAAGATGATTCGATATTTGGCAATGCCAACAGGTAATCATTTTCGTTCAATCTTTTCACAGGTTTCTTTGTTAGTTTACTTTGTCGATAATATCGTAAAATTCCGTTTTACTCAGCGATATTAGGAGGGCTGTAAAGATAAGAGTTTATTTGAAAACTCTGCTGATAGTTTTTGCGTTTTGTAGTACGTCATTCGTACTCTTTGTTTTTGATGTGTATGTATGTTTACTTTTCGCTGACAAACTTCCGGGCGGGAGAAAACCGCCACACTTTGTGAATGCTCAAAATAAATCGTAAAAGTTTACTTAACTCGCATGTGAAAATAAACATATAAATTCGTAACGCGTTTACATAGTTTGAGTTTCTTTTATTGTTTGTATCTATTGCGTTCTGTTGAGGACTTCTTACATTTTGGCTCATTCAATATTAGCAATATGCAAATATAGCGTTCTCAAACTACGTTTTAAACATTTACACAGCATGTAGCTCTACATACTTATGTACATATGTATGTATGTATAAGGTCTTTAGCGGTTTTAAATAAAGAGAAGACATTTTACTTTTTTAACAACTAAGAATATAAAATTTATTACTTGCAAAAAGTCCATTAACCTAGTAACCTATTTTTTTTTTAATAATAACGAAACATGGTGAGCTGCTATATTTTTTGCTCTCAGCGCACACTTTTAGCATTTAACAAATATTATTTCTAAAAAGATAAACATCATAAACAACGCTAGTTCAAAGTAGTAACGACGTATGCTGGAAATATTACTTAAACAACAAATTTATACTCATTTACCCGGTTCACGGAAGAATCAGAGTAGATTTATGGATTTATGGATGTTTGCAAGTGCATATTTTTCTATGGAGATGCCAAAAAGACGAAGGCGAGATTTTTTTATTAAATTTAATTTTCAATGCAGAATTACTGCATCTAAATGCTCTAGGAGCAATTCTGCATAAAAAAAAAAAATTTAAAAAATTTCGCTTACGCCTTTTTTCGGTAAGGGCTCGATATGTGAAAAAATTCTGTACAACAATTAATTAAATTTAAAATTTTTGAAACATGAAACACCAAACTTGGTATTTAAATGAAATAAATGGAAATCCTCTTCAAAAATCTAAAAAATATTCCAAATGCTGGCGAACAAATTTCATCTAAATTCTTCCTGCCGTTTCTGTGTGAAGAGAGGTGCATAGTGTCGGTTTTTTCATTTCAATTAAGCTGTATCGATAAAAAAAATTCGAAATTCAAAAAATAAAATCATAAGGCTCATCTACAGGCCAAGATCTTTAATTTGACTTCTTTTTATGAAATTCACAAAAAATGTTTTTGCGTATTGAATGTATCTATGCGTACATATTAGGATATATATGATTTTTCGAATAAGTGGCAACCCCAATCAAATATATTTTCAAACTAACGCCTTTTTAAAACTTTCGTTTGACGCGCGTATTTTAAAATATCATATAAATTATGTATAACTTAAGTAAATTCGACTTTGAAAAAAATCCCTTTAAATTTCTTACATTAACTGCTGTGTTAGATATTTCAATCAACTAATAAATTAGGTTGAATTTAACTTTTCAACATATGGCAACCCAAAATGAAGCTCAGAAATAAAGCCTTCCAAACCGGTTTCAATTGATACCCATCTTTTTGATAATCGGTTTAACTCATTACATGATTTGAATTTAAATTTGTAAACCGTTGGCAACCCTCTTCGAACAAATGAAAAATAGTGTGAAAGTTCAATTCAAAGATTCCTTCAGACTCTATGCTACCCATATATTAATATTTCATATAACTTGCGGATAAACTAAAAAGATCCGGCTTTTCAAACATGTGGCTAGCCTCCTCACAATATTTTCATGCTACTACCTTCTTAAACCTCTTTCGTCTGGCATTATGGTCTGGTTCATTTATCTAATTCCCTTGATTGAAATTGAATTGGAATTTTTTAACAGGTGGCGACCCTTTTACATGTAGTTAAGAAACAAAACCCATTCAAATTTTAACGAGTCATACACATATGGTACTAATTGGTATAACTTTTTAAACATTTTGAGTTGAATTATTTAAGAGATGGCAACTCTAGAGTCCAATCGAACGAACTGCTGTAAATTTTCTGTTTCGTTTCCCATATTAATTAAGCATTTCTAAAATAAATGTGGCCTTTTCCTATATATATTTCGGGTTTTGGAGCAATTTTTTCTTGCCTATTTTGTCTCTTTTGCAATTTTTAGTGGATTTTCCTGGCAATTTAAATATTTTATTTTGCCTTTTTTTTAAGGTTTTTTAGTCCTAAAAATCTTTTTCCAGGTTGTAACACTTTGTGTATGCGTATTTAAATATGGATTGAGCATAATGACTCAAGCACTCAAATAGCGTAAAATTATCATACTGATTCATTCAACAAAATTTTCTTATCAATCAAAAGCAAGCTTAAATTTTACAATTGGAATCTTTTGATTGAATAGCAGATATTTTGTTAACTCTACTTCCTTCCATTTTTATAGAGTTCGTTGCCTTTTCAACATTTGCTAATCAAAATTTATTTTTTCGTTTATAAATAGCATTCTCATCCAATTTTCTGCAGAAGTTTTAAACTTTTTCTCTGCTTGCTTTTGAAACTTTAACATTGTTTACATATGTACATTAGGGTGGGTAATTTTTTTTGACAATGCGCATATAGCATAGAAGAATTCTAAGTGGGTCTAAATCAATTTATAGTTTGCCAAATTGCGAAAATAGGTTTCAAAGAAAATGTGAAAATTTTCACTGCTGTGCCCTCTGGTGGTATTTTAAGAATAAGATAAGTACAGAAATGGATTCCTCATACAAAATTTAAGCACTTCTTTATGACACTACAGCAAAATGCTAAGAAACCTATTTTCGCAATTTGGAAAACTGCAAATTGATTTTAGACCCACGGTTTCTCCGGCAACTTTGCTTAGAATTACATGTAGATCTGTGCTATACCCGCATAGTTGAAAAAGTCTCCCATACAAATTGACCCGCCCTAATGTACATAGCTATGTACTGCAACCGCCTGATGCGAGTATACGCTGAAATGTCACGTAACCATATTATGTACATATTTACAATAACATACATACACACATATGTGTGCATATTTGAAAGAGTGCGGGATAAAGAATTTGCTCCTGAATTTTTTACTAGTCATTTAACGAATTACTTGGCATATTACAATACGCTGTTTTTTATATACTAAAGCAATTAATTTAAACGTAATATTTTATGTACATATGTATATGTTAAATATATTTTAGTTAAAGCTTAAAGAGGAAGAAGAGTTGGAGGGGTTGGTGATGCCAATATACCCCCTTTTGGTGATAGCATAACTTTGTTGGCGCTTATCAACTACGACAATGGTTCGGTGTGTCCACACTTTTGAAGAATTGGACAGATAACAATAATAAAAGATTGGCGCTTACATAATAGCTCTGATCCACTCTCTCCATGAACTTACAGGATTTTACACGAACTCCGAAATCTTGTAAATGCGAGCGATTTTTGGAGAGTTGTGTAGCGAATGAAGTTGCCAGATTTTACCTGAACTTTTTCTTCTGTTAAAATCACGAAAAGTGTCAAGCGATCACTGGTTGACGTTTTTACAGGAAAGATGCCTTTTTTGTTGCCGTACTTTTTGTTGCTACTCACTTTTTACTCTCACTTCAGGGAGTAATTTTGCTGTTTGACATTTTTTCAGGATTTTACACGAAAAGTTTTGGATCAAAGCTCATATGTTACTGCTTGGCCGAACTTCTCCTCCGATTTGTTGCGTGCGCCTTGATGTTGTTACACAAAGGGGTGACCAAAAGTTTTACGCCAACTCTGAACGCCGAATGTATTTTTATGAGAAGCCGTTTTTCATGACAGAAGAGGAGGTTTACCGTTGCCTGCCTAGGGTGACCGCTATTAGAATTTTTTTTTTATTTTTATTTATTTTTTGATGTTGGTGGGAAACTGAGCCCGAACCCAGGCCCTGCGGAGTCACTGTATTTTAATTCGCTGCACTATGTCCATGTCGTTGTAAAGCTTATCGTACCATCGTCTGCGGTCCTCGCCAATGCGTAAAAGTCCGTAAATATTCCGCACCTGTTGGCAATAGTGATTCTCCGTTGGCTGCACGTTGGCGAGTTTGGTTGTACCTCAATAATTTTGCTCGTTTCGCCACTCGCTAAGTATAGGCAAATCGGAAATTATTTATTTTTTGCTCGAAATCACAAATCTTTAATTTTATTTATTAAAAGATCATTTAATGTTAAACATTGTATTGAAAATTAATATTTGCATTTGTATTTGTATTTACTATACTTATACATATATTTGTATAATAGGATGGTCCTTACAATATCGAAATCATATGGGCCACCCCTTTATTTGGTTATACTTACTTACGAAATAAAGCCATTCACAAAAAGTTCAACATTTAAAAAGAAAATAGCAAAAGTCGCTACCAGGGTTTGAAAAGAAATATGTCAAACTTATCAGGTTTTAAGTCCAATTTCTGTAATATTTATGCGATTTAAATACAAGTTTCTCAAACTCTGTTAGCGACCCCTAAAAATTTGTGTAACATTTTGAAATTTTCAAGG